TCTCCTTTGAAATCTCAGGTCTTGGCCTGTGGGGTTAAACTTCCTCTTTTTTTGGAGTAGATGGAATGTTCTGGAATGTCATGGGATGCCCTGCATGCTGACATTCCTCTTGGACTCCTTAGGATGAAGTCGTCCTTCTGTCCCTAAGGAGCAGCCTCCACACTTTCCCCTAATCTCCCACTTTCTCTACCCACAGAAGAACGAGGCTGCATTAGGAAAGAAAGACTAAGCCACTATCTGAAAACACATTAGCACACATTTTTATTTTACACAAGAGACATTCAGGCTCCACTAGAAGACAGGAGAATGACACCTGAAGAAAATAGTTTTGGCTACTCTGTGTAATGACCGGAGCCGTATATTTCTTCATAATAACAATGGATATTTGTACAGCATGTCGAGTTTACAAAATACTTCTCACGGGCATTCTCTCATTTGAATGTCACAGTGAGGAGACTGCTACCTTCACTTTAGAGATGAGGAAACTGAGGCTCAGACATGTGTCTTCAGATCCAGTGCTCTTTGCCTCCCGCCCACCACTCCAGTCCTCAGCAATTGCGGTAGAAGTCTACCGGGCAGGCAGCTGATAAGTATGGGTCACAGCACTGTGAAGCAAAGACAAAAACCTTGCACCTCTCTGTTTCAGGCAGAGGCTGCATATTTCCTGTACATTTTTCTCACTGAATTCCCCCAACTCAGACTTCATGGGTTCAAATCCCAGCTCCAACAGTTGTTAACATTATGGACTTTTAGGCAAATTATATGCTCAGTGTGTGCCTCAGTTTCCTCACAGGTAAAGTGAGGATAATGATATGCCCTCCTTATGGGGTTATTATGAGGTTTGAATGAGGTGACCCATTAACACATGAACCTGTGCTGAGGAAGAACTCTGCGTACCACTGTTATTTCCCCTCATTTTGCACACAAGGGAGGAATGCTTATTAAGATTAAGTGCAAGTGCTGCTGAAATTAGAACCTAAATTTGACTACAAAGACCTTACTTTTTTGCTGCCTTCGGGTACCTTTTTCTTTTGTACTCTCTGCTTTTTTCCCTCCTCCTGGACCCTTCCTCCTCAGCAGGTAGCCTGTTGCCCTGCACATGTTCCGATCCTAGGCTGCCTGCATTGGAATTTTCTGAGATCCATGCCATATGGAACAAATCAGAATTCCTGGAGCTAAAGACATTTTTAGAAGCCTTTCCACAAGCAGCCCAGGTGATTCACTCACACCCTGACAGAGGTCAAGAGCTGTGACTCAGACTGACAACTGCAGCAGTGGTTACTACCCCAGCCTACCCACCCTGTCCATTTCCCCCTTCACACAGCGAGGGCCCCAAATCTATCTTGCTGTATACACCCCTCTCCTGCGCACCCCCCCATCTTCTATTCCCTGATCAGGAATGCACGAAATATGCCAGCTCCCTCTGAGGCTCCTGGTCATTCCAATCCACTTTGAACAATGGCTTATTGAAGTCATGGCTTACTTTGCCTCAGAGTCAGGTAGGCTCAAGTCACAGCAGTGCTGGGCAACATCCATTCCATGCACATGACCCGCCGTGCACAATGATGCAGCAACTATCCACCTAGAAAATCTCAAACCATACCAGGGTCAAGCCTGCAAAAATGAGACAACGCAGAGCAGAGCCACTGTGGAGCTCTTAATCCTGTCCCGACTACGCCAATTGTGGATCCACGGCTAATGTCTTTAATCCTATTGCCAATTGTAGCGCTCTTAATCCTGTTTGTGACGCCAGTTGTAAAGCTACTTGGCCACGCCAGTTGTCGGGCTCTTTTACCTGCCGTAATGCTGCACTGACTGGGCTGATTGTTGAGCTAGGGCTGGGTCTGGAGCTCCCAGATCCCTGAAGCCCTTTCACAGACTGGGTCACAAACCCTTCACATGCCAGGCTGGGTCACCAGACCCCTTCATGCAGGTCCATGAGCTAGGCAACCGGCCAAAAGGTCCTTGGAGCCATAGGTTGGAAAGCATGGCCACACAGGGCGGATGCTCAAGGCAGACACCCATCCGCCTGCTTCACTAAAACTCTCTCTTTCTGCTCTCTCTCTACTCTCTCTCTGTCTCTCTCTCTCTCTGAGTCTCTCTCAAGAACACAAGAATAGCAACAAAACTAAAAAGATACATTGGCACACATGAACACACATTGAACACTCCACACATACCCCATTTGCTTACAATGGATGCACTAAAACCACACCCAATGGGACCCAAAGGGAGGGCACTGACCAAATTATTTTATTTTCCCAACAGCTGGCAAACACAAAAGAGCAGAAACTAAATCAGTATGTTGTTGTTGTTGCTGTTGTTTTTTTTTTACAAAGATGCAGCATGTAATGAAGGACAGCTTAGTGATAGCAACAGGAAGTACCATTCTAAATGGATCAACAACTGAATTTCTCTACTTGGCTGAGAAAATGTCAGAGCACAGTAGAGTTTCTTACATACAAATGCTCACTGTTCCTATACCATCTTATCTATGTAATTTTTTTCTTGTTTTTTATGAGCATATACTTATTTTTTTATTTTTACTTTTTTTTTTTCCTTTTTGTCTTTTTTCGTGACCGGCAACAGATCGCAACCCTCAGTGTCGCGCCCGTACCAGACCGGGACCGGCAACGGGATCGCAACCCTCAGTGTTGCGCCCGCACCTCGCTCAGCCAGTGAGCAGCCGGTCTGTATGTGGGATCCGAACCCTCGGCGGGAGC